GGGAACCTTCTCACGTATTCAAGTCGTTTAGACTTCATCTTTTTATCATAAATAGACCTCAATAAAGTATGAAAAAGGTGAAAGGGATTTGTTCTTTCAAGCCATCATTTCAGAGTCATTGAATTTTTATGAATTCCATCATAAGAAACTCAAGACTTACAGCAAGGCAATAGTTTGAAAGTTTGTTCTGAAATCTCGCACACAATAAGGCTTTAACTAGGCTAGATTCTGCATAAAAATTCAAACTTTTCGAATCTAGTTTCTACCAAGTATAAGATTTACTAAATATTTATATTTTCTATACTATGCGTGGCACAAAGACAATATGTTAAAAAATTCACATATTATAAAAACTAAGTTTGAAAAATATAAATTTTGTACACCACCTAGTCTAATTGCGATCTTAGCGTGTACGAAGTTTCAGATCAAAGGTAAAAAATACTGTCTTGCTAAAAGTCTTTAGTTTTGTATGATGCGACTATAAAAACTTTGACATCCCGAAAACAAAGGTTCAAAAGAATGAGTTCTTTTCACCTTTTTCACATCTCATTGCTGTCTACTTAGAAACAAAAGATAAAGTCTAAACAACTTGAACACCTGGGGAGATTCTTACATAAGTCAACGTAGTATTTAACACAGGTACTGTACAATTCTTTAAAATGATACCCTTTTTTTACTTATATGTTAAGGAGTTTCTCATATAAAAAACAAACTACATTATTAACAAGAATAATACTCTTTTTTCAAAATAAAAAAAAGTCACAGCTAACACGATTTTTATGAAAACGATGACCATGTTTCAAAGTCTTACATTATTTTAAAACTGAAGCAATCTAAGTAATTTTTTGAAAATACCTATTCCTAGCACCAGGATTCTATTTCAAGAAAAACAAAATGATTTAATAATAAACATTACGTACGTAACCGTTCGTTTTCTAATTTTTCTACTCGAGATTCCAAATCAAGACATCGTTTTTTCAAGATCATAAAATCGGTGTAGGATACGTAGTTGGATGAACCCAATAAATTCTCATTTTCAATTATATCAAAATCTTTATCCAATAATCTTTTTTGACTCTTCGAACCATCACTTGCTAAAAATATAACGAAATCTATTTCTTCGATGAGAAAAAAAAACATACGCATTGAGTTATTTGCAACTACACGTGCATCTTTAACAAGCAATGAAAAGATATCTTCATTTTCATGCACGTTTGTATCTGATGAAAAATCAATATGTGTTTCTGTTCTGAGTGTTTTTTCCTTTTCTAATCCTTCAATAGTTGTTACAGGTTGAATTTCATTTTCATTTATTAAATTCATTGCTGATTCATTTGTGATTTCGACGCTTTCTTGAATCTCCAACAAAGGTTTGATCGGTTGTGATTCGACAACTAAAATCACACGACAAGCCTTCATTCTGAATTTACATATGAAACTTACTATTTATATCCATTGAACTTTCTTTGTTTTCATTCACCGCAATACTTTTATTAGACTTTCGCTTCTTAGGCATTACAAAAAAAAACGAAAACTATAGAAATTATCTAAAACAAAAAATACAAGATATAACACAGCCATGCAAACTGTTATTGGTGAAAACACCCTCTATTTCAAAATACAAATTAACATGAAGCTATGAAAAATTCGGATTTCCCCCTGAACATATGGATCAGTCTCAAAATTGCAATCCGCAAGTAGGACACAACGCTCCTATCCGTTTTAATAATGAAAAAAAACCAATAGACATAAGAGAATTACCCCACAATAACTTATCATCGATTGGTCACTTCCAAATTTTCCTCTAAACCGCAATTCTTCACTATTCCATAATGATGGAAAAACTAAAACAATATTAGAAATCTACTACAATCAGACGAATCCAAATATGCCAGCCAAATACAACCTGTAAAAACCAACAATAGATGTCCTCAAGTACCAATGGTTATCTGGTACAAAAGCACGCACTACCCACACCTGCCAAAAGAATCATGATTTTGTGTTTTTCCCTACTCTCACCATGTTATTCTTCTACCTCACTTGCTTTCTTCCTTCACAAGCAGCCAAATTCTATGAACATATCGCCCAAAAGACCCACACATCACATTCCATCATAACACAAAATTCAATTTTTTCAATCCCACCCAAGCATACACTAATACCATACAACATTTACATTTCCCAAAAAAAATACCGTTCAAAACGATAATTCTATTTACCCATCAATCCTGTTCTCAAATATCAACTGCAAAACTTAGCCAAGAAACGATATCCATCTACAATTCCTACATGATAAATGAAGAATATATTACACCTGCTGCACATTCCGAAACCCTTCGAATCTTTTCTATTTCCTCAGACTCAAGCAGCAATCACTCAGAGATGAATCATACAGCAAACATACACGGTATCCAACATCGAGTAACTACTCCCGCTGAATCAGTCAACGAAAAAAAGACTTTCAAGAAAGGTCTGATAACTACTCCGGGTGAATCAGCGCTGTTTCAGCGCTGAATCAGCCAACGAAAAAAAGACTTTCTAGAAAAGTCTCGTAAGTACCCTGGCTGAATCAGCCAACGAAGAAAAAGACCTTTGAGAATAGTCTTGTAACTACTCCAGCTGAATCAGCCAACGAATAAGACTTTTAAGAAAAGTCTGGTAACTACTCCCGCCGATTCAGCGCTGAATCAGCCAACGAAAAAAAGACTTCCAAGAAAGGTCTGATAACTACTCCGGGTGAATCAGCGCTGTTTTAGCGCTGAATCAGCCAACGAAAAAAAAAAGACTTTTGAGAATAGTCTCGTAACTACTCCAGCTGAATCAGCCAACGAAAAAAGACTTTCAAGAAAGGTCTGATAACTACTCCGGGTGAATCAGCGCTGAATCAGCCAACGAAAAAGACTTTTAAGAAAAGTCTGGTAACTACTCCCGCTGATTCAGCGCTGAAACAGCGCTGAATCAGCCAACGAAAAAAAGACTTTCAAGAAAAGTCTGATAACTACTCCGGCTGGATCAGCGCGGAATCAGCCAACGAAAAAAACTTTTGACTAATGATTGTTAACTACTCCGGCTGAATGAGCACTGAATCAGGCAACTAAAAAAAGACTGATGATAAAAGCTGATTAACTATGTCGGCTGAATCAGCGAAGTAAAAGACTTTTGAGAAAAGATTGGTAAGTATTCCGACTGAATCAGCGCTGTTTCATAGCTGAATCAGCCAACGAAAAAAAGTCTTTTGAGAAAGGACTGGTAACTACAGAGGCCGAACAGCGCTGTTTGAGTGCTAAATCAGCCACCGAAAAATAGACTGTTGAGAAAAGACTGGTGACTACTCCGGCGGAATCAGCGCTGTTTCAGTGTTGAATTAGCCAAGGAAAAAAAGACTTTTGGTAAACGTGTGGTAACGAAAGCTTTGAAAATCGGATAACTGCATACGTCGTGGAAAGATGATCTTAACATATACAAAAGTTGGTAGCTAAATGTTCTTCGTTATTGTGGAAGATATCCTTCGAAAACGAGGAAAGTTTTATTGTTATGCGGAATATTTCAGTTGAAAGCGAACTTCAGAGAAAAATATTGTTGATTAATAGGTTAGTTTTCTCGTTGATAAGTATGTAGTGTGAATTTTATCAACTTGTTATGATTTAAAATGGATAATTCTGAGAAATCAACGATTGAGCGACATTGCTGCCGAAATTGGTCGTTCGAAGCTAGTACAGCATTATTCGTAAACATTTTGAAACTGATTTTCGAGATCAGTGTATCAAATTCTAGTAGCCCGGAAAGTTTTATCCCACTCCCATGGAGTCGAGGTAAATGTGGTATGCTTTCAAAATGGTTGCCCATAGCTTCTCAAGAGCTCTAATGGGCGCTGTGATATTATACTGCTTGCGGGCCTGCGGCTACCGCTATAGAAAAATCCACGAGAAAGTATGGGCATCCCATATAATATCCCATTAAAACCTATGGGTACCCCTGTACGAAAGCCCTTGCGGAACTATGGGTACTCCTATAGGAGAATGGTTGAAGACCTTTGAGCGCCACTATAGAATGGTCCGTGAGGACCTATGGATACCCATATACGATGGCCTTTGAGGTTTCCTGCATGCTTCTATATTATAGCGCTTGAAGACCTATGCGTACTCTTATAGGATAATCTTTGAGGACCTAAGAGTATCCCTATAGGATATTCGTTGAGAACCTAGGAGTAGGGTGTGGGGTGTGGGAGTGGATGTGGGTTTGAGTATTTGTATTCCATCCTCTAACACCCACACCCACACCCAAATCTCATTTCAATCGCGCTACTAAACCATATGCTTAACGCGAAGTTATGCTTCAAAGTGAATCCGCAGCACTTTCTCCTAAAGTTTTTTCCGATCTCACCATTCACTGACAAAATGCATATAGGAGATATTCCAAAATTCACAATGTTTTGTTTACTTTTGCATTCCGCTTAGACAACTATTTTCACATTTGGATGATCACCGAGATAAGATAGAGATCACAATGCTTTATCCTTTTCATCCAACCAAACATTCACTTCGACATGGTGAGTTGAATAGTTTTCTAAGCGAACAATTTATGTTCACTTTTCACATTGATGAAGGTGTTTCTCCATTTCGATTATCTTTCAGATCATATAAAAATTACATTTTCCCTAGGTTTTTCCTCGAATCAAACATTCAATTGGACATGGTTTAGCTGAATTGTTTTAATAGTGTAAATGGTATGCTCACTTTTGACTCTCATATTCATGCGAATTTTTTCCGGTTTCAGTTATCCTTAGGATCATATAAAGATCATATTTTTCTATCTTTTTCCTTCAATCAACAATGCAGTTTGTTACGTCTTATTTCTTTTCTTTATTGCTCGTATTCTCATATTATACTCTGATATCACCGAGATAGCAACGTGATGGTATGACAACAGAACGGAACAAAAGAATAATCTCCTTCCGATGGGATCGAACCAACGTCTTCTGCTTTCCGGGCAGCTGTACTACCACTATACTAGAAAGGAGCGTGTGTTATTCGTTTCGTTCCGTCTTATGTTCGAAGGGGAACACTTCGAACATAACACAGTTTGACATGGTCTAGTGTATTTATTTCAATAGTGAACATGCTATGCTCACTTTTGCTCAAATTCATTCTCACATTGATGAGAACTTTTTTCGATTAAGAATACCCTTCAGCTGATATAAAGATTATATTTTCCTATCACTTTCGTCGAATCAAATATTCACTTGCACATCGTCTGGTTCAACTATTTCAATACTCAGCATGCTATGTTCAATTTCGTTCACCTTCGATTTTTACACGAATAGAAATTTTCTGCGGTTTACATAATCTTTGAGATCATATCAACATCATATTTTTCTATATTTTTCTTCGAATCAAACATTCACTTAGCCATTGCCTGTAAGAACTATTTCAATAATGAGCACGTTAGGCTCGCTTTT